GTAGAGGGTCAGTGAGGAAGATCCTCAGTGAGAAGGCTTGACGCAGTGGCTGTGATGATGGGCTCAAGCATGGCAATGATTGTGAGGCTGGCACAGGACTGGGCAGTGTTTTGTTCTGTTGTCTGTAGGGTTGGTATATGTCAGAATTGACGAGATGGCACCCAACAACAACAAGGATTTCCAAGTGGCTAAAAATAGCCCTTGCACAGTACTAGGGGCTCTGGTTGTGTAGTGGTTAAGGCATTTGGCTGTTAACCAGTGTGTCAGTGGTTGAAATTCATCAGCTCCTCCATGGAAGAAAGATGAAGCAGTCTGCTTTGGTGAAGACTTACAGCCTTGGAAAGCCCGTGGGGTTCCCTGTGAGTGAGAATTGACTTGCTGGCAGTGAGTTTGGTTTTGGTTTGGAAGAACAGATAAGACATTCTTGAAGACAATAGGGAAGACTTGCTCTACCTTATGCCAAGAGTTATGAAAAAGTGAAGAGATAAGGAGCTCTTGTGATCATACTGCCTGGTCCTGCACCATCCTCACAATCATTGCCATACTTGAGCCCATCATCACAGCCACCGTGTCAAGCCTTCTCATTGAGGGTCGTTTCTTTTTCACCTGACCCTCTACTTTACCAAGGATGATCACCAGAGCTCCTTATCTCATCACTATCTCACTATCTGGTGAGATAGTGATGTTATTACTTTGGTGTTGTAGCCATAACTCTTCCCAGGAAAGCAGAGATTAGGGTCATAATGAGTCTCATTTTGCAACCCTTTTCACTACTGCTATGTAAACCTGGTTATGAGATAGTGGGCATTGGTGCAGGGATTGATGCGAAACTTTCATTTTTGGTTATATCAAAGGTATTTGTTATTCTTCTAGATTAGTATCACCTCTCAGACAGATAGAAATTGGTGTTAAAATTGTGTTAGGATTCTGGGAGTTAAAGCCAGTCACAGAAGTGTAACCAGACCACAGATTATGTGGTGAAGAGCCAAGGAGAGTCACAAAAAGAGAGAATGGAGGCAAGATATCATTAAGTCTAAGAGTGCTTTTGAAAGCCAATCCACAGAAGCTGCCCCAAATGGGGCAAACTAGATCAGAGTCAATGGAACAGGCACCAGAAGACATGGGACGTAAGACCAGAATAAGAAGCAGAATATAAAATCTAAGAGGCATTGATGTATAGCCAGAGGGCCTGTTAATTGTGTCTTTATGACTCTAGGTAGAGGAAATACTTTTCAGACATTTCTTACCTTAAAGAAGTAAAACCCATTCTTTCTAGTTAGTAGAGGTGAATGAAGGGGTCCTGGAGGTGCTCATTAATTTGTCATCAATACTTCAATGACCCTCTTCTAGTAGCCCTATAATTTAACCCTTTCTTTCTTGATTTTTTCCTTTTCAACTTTGATTTCCAAGTTAATTTGAATGCGTTTCATAAAATCAAGTGCTGAAATAGGGTAGCATTAAAATGTTTTTTTGGGTTCTTTCATCGGACCTCCATCCCTTCCTAAATCCCTCTTGCCCTCTGTGTTAGGCTGGGTTTTCTAGAGAAGCAAAAGCAGTAAAGCATGTATATACATATAGAGAAAGAGAAACTTATCTTAGGAAAATGGCTCACACACTTATAGAAGCTGCCAAGTCAAGCTGGAGGCTTTTCCTCACTCACGCAGCTGCAGGGGCTGAGGAGCTCAAGGTTGGCAGGCAGTATACCGGCTGCTGACTCCAATGAATATTGAATCCAAGATCTCCAGGCCGAATGGTGCATTTTTCTCTCATGGACAGTTGTAGGCAGCACAACAGGGTCCCAATCCACAGAAGAGTATCTCTTTTCCCAGGATGTCCATAAATATATTGGAAGCAGGCCACACCCCTAGGGAAACTCCCTTTCAATGGATTGGCTGCTCAAAACACATACATCCAGTCCCATCATGGGAATAACCCCTATCACAGTTGCTTAAACCACACAGAATTGTGGTCCAGCCAAGTTGACACACAGCTCCAAGTCTCTCACCCTTCTTCCCTTTCCTTGCATTTATGTTTATTTCTTCCTATAATTAATATTTCACTTGCAATTGAGGTGATGCCTTGACTCTTTCCTGGCATGTTGTAAAACAGTCCTGCACTGGAAAATTCCCCTCCTCTCTTCCATAGCTCATTTACGGCAGAGGAGTTCTCCTTTATTGTTATAGCCATAACTCTTCCCAAGAAAGAAGGGAGAGGGTCAGAATGAGTTGCATTTTGTAGCCCTTTTCAGTACTGCTATGTAAATTAAAATGATTTGATTAAGAAACCCTCAAAGGTAGTTATGAAGAGAAAAAGAAACCAGGAAAGGAAGAAGTGCTAATGTAAGGATTTATAACAGGGGGCAGGCAATCCTTGCTGGGAAGAAGGGAGGCTTATGGATTAATGAGTACATTAGGTTGAAACACGTGATAGGGCTACTTTAGATCAAAGAGAGTCAAATGGAAGGAACTTTACATACTTCCAATTAGTACATGGAAATGTATTTTGAAAATTATTTTTTCTGAGTTTAAAAATAATATATTTGTATTAATGAGGAAAAGATAAAAAAGAATAATCTAGAAATTAATGATTATTATCTCCCAGAGCAGAGATGAATATTTAATATTTTGATACATTTACATCTGTTCCCTTTCCTATATACGTGTACATATGTATATTTTTCAAATATTTGAATCATGTTATAAATGTAGTTTTATATCTTGCTTTTGTTACTCATTATTATACATGTTAACGTTGCCTCTGAAGCTGGAATCCCTCAGTTCAAATTCCAGCTCCTCCGCTTACAAGCTGTGTGACCTCATGCCTGTTATTAAAATTCTCTGTGACTCAGTTCCATCGTTGGCAAATGGGAATAATAATATTACTGCATAGGATTTTTTAAAGATTAAATTTATATATATGTATAATCCCTTAGCACAGTTACTGGCATATAGTAATCATTTAACTATGTTGTTGTTGTTATGTGCTGTCGAGTCAGACCTGACTCATAGTGACCCCTCCTTGGGTTTCCGAGGCGTTATCACTATGGAGCTCTGGTAGCATAGTGGCTAAAGCACTTGACTGCTAACCAGAAGGCTGGCGGTTCAAACCCACCAGCCACTCCTCGGAAGGAAGGTTGGGCAAGCC